AGGATGTCAAGGCTGCTTATTGTCAAGGCAGGCTTTTTTTTTTTTTTTTTTTTTTTTTTTTCCCCACTCCTTGTTCTCTAATGTAATAAAAGCTTTCTTCACAGCAGGATAAATTTATGCTCCAGATATAGCAATTTTGTGGCTGGTAATTTTCGAGGCCAACGATGTCAATTAATCCATTTTCTCAGGGCTGTGCAAGGGAATAAAAGGATCCATAGGGTCCAAGCCTCGAGTTTCTCTAGTATGCAACGTTAGCAAGAGGGATATTTTTTTGTGTGTGGAAAAAAAAATGCCAGCATTTATTTACATTGCAAAAGTACTGCCACGAGTTTTCAGAGAAGGAGATCCAGTATCAACGATCAGTCAGTCACTGCAGACTAGTTACCACTGCACAGCTTGGCTCAGTAAATAAAAAAATCCAGACAGAAGTGTATGCTGTATATTTTACTCCCATGAAATAAAACACATTTTTTTTCATGTTTGCTGAAAAGTAAAACAATAATATTGTACGAAATGTTATACACAGGGCATGTTTTACATTGCAATATCAGAAACATCATTGCATCCACCAGAGGTACTATTCTAAAACTGATATTCACACAATTTTTTTAATAATTATATGTTAGAAACATACAGTGTCGCATTTAGTATATACATTCCCTTGCTTGCAAGCGAAAAAATCCTAATCGCTTCTGTGTAACATGCTTTATTTTAAAGCCTAACCTTTTAAAAACACTGTTGTGATATTACTAACAACTGCTTTTATAAAATTAATTTGACATTTCGATATATATACATCCTTTCAGTCATTTTTATGTTAACAATGCTAAACTTAAAAAATAACAAGCTTATAGTAACATTAAAATGTCATATCATATCCAGTCAAACATTTGTCCATATATATATATATATGTCCTTGTAACTGTTGAAATACTCTTAGTGAAAGAAAGATCTCAGAATCTGTAGGAGGTCCTTTGAAAACAAAGGAACTATCTTATTTCAGTGGTTTCCTCTTTTTTTCTCTCTCTCTTTCTCTGTCTCTTCCTCTCTCTCTGACTCTGTCTGATTTTTCTTCCTTTCTCTTTCTCTCTAGTGCCCATTACTTTCTAGTGAAATTCTCAGTCTCTGCGGGAAATGGGAAGGGATTCCCATGCAGTGTTTCCTACTTGAATGTTTCACACGGGTCTGTCCACTGCGTACTGGCAAGCACTCAGGTTGGAAGCGGGGTTCTGCACACTGGCATAGCCAAAACTGGAGTGCTGCTTGGCTTTAAGTCTCAGACTCGCCAAGCTCGAGTTACATGTGTCCCTATAAACATACGGAGGCGTTGGAGGAGCATAAGGACAGGCTGGCGTTGGCACTGCAGAATTCAGGGAGGGATTGCTCAAGTTGTTCAAGTTATTCAGGCTGTTGAGGCTGGAGCCAGGGACCCCGGTGACTGCAGAGGGTACCATGCTTGAAGACATACTCATGGAGGAGATGGAGTTTGGAGGGGAGAACATGCTCTGAGAAGACAGAGGGTTGACATTCATGGAGTTGAAGAAAGGAAAGCTTTTGGTGGAGAGGGAAGCGGAGGTCAGGCCCTTGGCCGCCCAGTTGTTGTACGAGTAGCCAGGGTACATGTCATCATAGGGCTGCATGAGGCCGTTAAACTGTGGACCAAAGCCGTTTTTGCATAGCTCGGCTTGCTGGTTCCTTTCTCTCTTTCTCCATTTGGCTCTGCGGTTCTTGAACCAAACCTTTGGAAAGAGGGGAGAGGAAGGGAGGGAGATGCGAGAGGCGAGTTAGTCAGGAACCACTATAACCACCTTTGCAGGTTCTCGGGGCAACAGCTGAACATGTTCGTGTCTAAGTTATATATAAAAATGTGTACGAACATATATATATACACATCCATATATAGATTCGCCTTCTCCGCTGTGGAGCCCCGCGCTGGGCTGGGGCAGCGATGTGCTGCCGGGACCGCCGAGCACCCCCGAGGCCACCCGGGTTTAGCAAGGTAGATTCGTGGCCGCGTCATTCCACCCTCATCCACCCCCACCCTTCCATTCCCCACCCCCAGTCCCCTGTCCCCCCCCCCACCCTGTAGCCCCCCGCATAATTTGTGATGCTCTAATTCGCGCCACAGAGGTCAACGCTTCCTTCTTATTCTCTCTCTTCCCTCTCGCCCCCACCCTGCCCCTTCATTTCTCTCTTGTTTTTTTTCCCCCTTCTCCCTTGGCTTTTTCGGCCCTGAAGCCATCCAGGGGAAATACAAAAGTGCAAAAGCGAGGGCAAAGCTCCTGGAAATCCGCGTAATATTTAAGGCAGTGGTACGGGGAAGGAGGGAGAAGCCAGCAACTAATAAATCCTTGCTGCAGTTTGCTAAAGCTACAAGTTCCTCCTGCGTGAAAGCTTCCAGTGCCGAAAACTACTTTCTAAACAAACTCGTTCGACTGCCTTTGGTGGGAGGGAGGGGAGAAGGGGGGGGAGAAAAGAAAAAGGAATTTAAAAAAAAAGGAAAAAGAAAAAAAATCGCCATTAAACAACGTGCTAAACGAGATCTAAGGGACCCTCCCCGCAGACAATGGAGAAAACGTCCCCTTTCCCAATCCACATCTGAGCGTCTGACCCGTCGGGCAGCCGCCAGCAGCAGCCTCACCGTGTGTATTGAAACCACCCCGACCTCGGGGTGTTTGTGGTAACCCCCACCCTAGTCGAGCAGGGCGGGAGCTGGCCGTACACCACGGAGTCGGGCCCGGTCTGGAGGCATCGCGCGGACCGAAACAAAAACTCCCGCAAAAGCCGCGTTGCGACCGACAGCGCTCCGTGCAGGACACCGACCCGGCCGCGTCCCGCTCCCGCCGTGGGGCTACCCCGTCGCCAACACCTCCAGCTCGGGGCGGAGAGCCGGCCCCGCTCGCTGCTGACCCCAGTTCTCACTGTCTCGCTTTCCTCAATCGACATCAGGGAGAGGATTTATGTGGGATTTCCGAAAATCTGAAGGTTCGACCCATTTGCAGGCTTCTTTTTGCATGCGCGTGTTGGGGTTTGTTGTTTTTCTTTTTTCCCCCCAGCGCGGCTTTTGCAGGCGAGCAGGATCCGGCCGCGGCATCTCTGCAGCGCCGCGATGGTCCCATAAATCTCAGAGGGGGGGAAAGGGCGGAGAGAGACGCTCGTCGAATTGTGAAACCAAAAGAAATAGAAAATGCAAGGAAGGGCACGTTTGGGAGTGCCTCGGAGTGAAGCAAAAGCTCTTGTGTATTTTACATCTTTTTCTCATTAGAGAGAGCGCAGGTTGCAGCCTGTTCCAAGTTGCTTTCTTAGCTAATGTTTTCATTAGCGTTTCGATCAAAAGGAGCGGGACGCATCGCACGGTGAAGGCGAAACGTGCAGCAAACCATATTTCGGAGACACAGAGAAGGATCCCAATCTGTCTCGCTCTGACAGAAATGTCCTGCTCTGCCCTGCTTTTGTGCAAAGGCTCAGAAGTTTACATACAAGCCAAAATCGAAAGCAGCTGCAAACATTTCAGCCCTCCTTCCCTTTTCCCACCCTCCCTGACCCCCGCTGCTCCGAGCTGGAGTGCTGTGTTGGGACTTACCCTAACCCTGGCCTCGGTAAGGTTGGTCCAAACGGCGATCTCCTCCCGGGTGGACATGTCCGGGTAGCGATTCCTCTGGAAGGTGGCCTCCAGCTCCTGCAACTGCTGGCTGGTGAAGTGAGTCCGTTGCCGTCGCTGCCTCTTCTTTTTGGAGGGGTCCTCAGGCCCCGCATCCTCGTTCTTGCTCTGTTGACTCTTATCTTTCTCTGAAGGGGGGGGGGGAACAAAAAAAAAAACAAGGCGAAAAACGAGGGCGCCTCAGCCTCCTCAGCCTCCTCGCCAGCGGCCGGGGAAGGGTTTGTCCCCAGCACTGCTGTATCCCGCAGATTGCCCCGAACGCGACTCGGCGCTGTAATGATTAACCAACGCCGGCCTCCCGCCGCCGCGGCCCCTCCGCGCCCGCGGGCACTCACGAGCGGCTCCTCCCGGTGGAACCGCCGCCGCCGGGACAGCGGGACTGAGCCGCCTCTCCGTATGCAAGCGTTCCACCTATCTGCATCCACGCTATTCTCCCATCTGTATACATGTAATCCTTATTATTTGCCTATCTACACCCGTATTATTCGCCTGCCTGTATTAGTATTATTTGCCCGCCTATAACAATATTCTTTGTCCGTATATATCCATATCCTTTGTCCATCTGTATCCATATTACTCGCCCATGAATTCCCACATTATTTGCCAGTCTGTATCCATACGGTTCTCCCACCGGTATACGTGCTATTCGTCTACCCTTACACATGTCATTGTCTCTCCTATAGCCGGCACACAGATACCACACGCGAAAAACCACGAAACCTATCTCGGCTCGGGTGCGGAGCGCTCCCGGGCAGAGGGGCGGCGGTGCATCGCGGTCCGCAGGGCTGCCGGGGCCGCCTGCCCGACCGGGTCGAAGCAGGACAGGGCGGCGGGGCGCCCTTCGGCTGGGGTCTCTGCCGCTCGCCCCCTCTTACCTGCGGCCTCGGGGCTGGAGGTGTCGGAGATGGTGTGCACCTCCAGCCGGTGCTTGGCGGACTCCAGGGAGGAGCGCCCCTGCCCCGGCGCCAGCGCCGTCGCCATGGCCAGCGCGGGCTGATGGTGGTGGCAAGATGATGAAGAGGAGGAGGAGGAGGAGGAGGAGGAGGAGGAAGGTGAGGAGGAGCACAGCTTATTCCCGGCTCCCAGGCGCTCCAGGTTTAACGGGTCCTTCATGCAGTTCATCGGCAGAAGGACGCCGAAGTCTACGTGCGCGCCTGGGGGGTCGATAGGAGAAGGTATGCGTGTGTCTGTAGGTGTCGGTACGTGTAGGAGCGTCCACGAGGCGCCCCCTCCGCGGGCGCGGAGCAGCCCCGCGGCTGCGGGGGGTCAGGGTTGCCAGACGGGGAGCCGCGGCGGGGCGGGCGACGTTCGACTAGCGCCCAGGTGGCACGGCGAGCCTCGGAGCCCCCGCCGCCCGGGGGGCCGCGGCGGCGGCGACAGGCGAGAGGGCGAGTCCGGTCCTGTAAGAGCCGTCACGGCGACACGGCTGCTCCCCGGCCGGCAGCCCCCGGCCCGCCGCGGATCTCCGCGGGGCGGGGGCGGCGAGGCGCGGCAGCGCTCCGCGGGGCGCTCCTCTCCGCTGCCCGCGCATGGACCCGCGCCGCGGCCGGCCCCGCACAGCATCAGCTCAGCCGCTTCCCTCTTGGCCTGACATCTTAAACCGGCGGCGGCCTTCCCCGCGCCGCACGTCACCCACCCCGCCCCGCACCGCCCCCGCACCGCCCCTCCACCACCCGCTCCGCCCCGCCCGCGCCCCGCCCCGCCCGAGCGGCCCTGCGCGCCCCCCACCGCCGGCCATTGCCACGCGGGGGGCCCCGCACCGCCCCCGCACCGCCCCTCCACCACCCGCTCCGCCCCGCCCGCGCCCCGCCCCGCCCGAGCGGCCCTGCGCGCCCCCCACCGCCCCCCGCGCTCTCCCGGCGATGGGCACACCCACCCCCCATCTCAAAACCACCGCCCTGTTTGCCCCGCGGGTGGTACCCGCGCCCGGAGAGCCCGGCCTCCGGCCGCCCCTCACGGGGCACCCCGTCGGGGCGGTCCGTGCACGTCCGTTCCGCGCCTCGCCGCACTCGCGGACCCGCGGGGGTAAGGAGTGGAGCGCTCAGCACTGGCAGAGGCGCTGCAGCAGGAGGAAGAAAGTGGGGAAGCCCCGAGCCCGATTCCCTTCTTATGGAGAGGGTGGAAAACAAACGGGACGGGGACGCGGCCGGTTAGACGGTGGATCTTGGGCTGATAATATCGATAACTAAACACAAGCGACAAAAACTTCCCCTCGCTCGCGTTCTGGTCTTCCTCTGCCCGCACGGAAGACGGAGAACACGGGGGGAAAATCCCCTCCTTGGCTTTGCCGTTCCCGCCCCTTCCCTGCAACCGGCTCCCAAAAGCTAGCTCCCAAGGAGGCTTTTCCACCCTGGTTTTACAACTTACCCGCGTAGTTACCCGCGGGATGATTCCTCCCTCTCGACGTGGATCCGCAGGGACCGTCCCGCGCCCCCGCAGTAGTCCCCGAACCCACGCCCACGCAAGCCGTTCACAGAGTTCGGCCAAGTCCCACACAGGGCCGGGAGCCGGCACACAACCTTCTCATACCCCTCTCCGAGACTTGGGGGCAGGATTTGACCCCTCGTCCGGGCAGCGGCAGTAGAGGACGGGCTGTGCTGTCCCGCCGTTCCCACTTACGGGGCCGTTTCATAGCGCAGGGGCGAGGCTGCTGTGGACCTAGGTCTCGCAGGAGGAAGGAGGAGCGGAGCTATTTCACGCGCGTCTAAGGCGGTGGCAGGTTGCCCTCCCGTGCTGGCCAGTTCCTCCTGGGGCAGAGGAGTCTGTCCCCGAGCCCTAGCCCGCAAAGCCGACACTGCCCCAGGGGAGTCGTGGCTGTGGCAGGGATAGGAGCCCGAAGGAGCCCAGGCGCGGGAAATGCAGGTTTAAGTCTCTATCTTCAATTTGACTGGCCGGTCACTGGTATCGAAAAGTTACAGAAAGCTTCCCTTTGATGTAGCCCTTTACACCCACGTCCCAAAGCCCAAACTTTTCTGTGTCCCGTTCACGTCCCGTTTGCCACACCCCACCCCCGCCTCCCCGCAAGGGTCTTCCTTAGTCGCTGATTCTTGTTCAAGGTATGTATCATCCATTGCAATCTTAGTTATCGCTAAATTATACATATTACTTTCGCAGCCTGTTAGTAAAGAAGGTTAAATTAATTTACATTCTGCTCATTATCTGGTGTTTAAATGACGTGTTTTTATCCCTGAGATTTGGCAAAGAATCTCTTTCCTTAGACCCCACAGCGTTTCGATGGAGACAATGCTCTTACATTTGTAGTGGATTTTAATCTGATAAGACTCTAATTTGCTTAAGTCTTTTAAATAGGGGGTTTAAAATGATTCTAGCCGTTTTCTTATTGAATTTCCGCTAATTCCCCAAAGATCATAAAGTATATGTGTAAAGTAAATATTTCCTCCCTTTGCACCGGCAGTAGATGACCTATAACTAAGTCAATATGAATCCAGCTCCATTCTGCACATTTTGTTTACCAATCATATCCCAGATTCTTCTTAACCTCTCGCTGCCTCCGTGATCCCACACCCAGAATCCCCCCCTCTAGCATTTGCCCACGGCGGGACTGTGCCAAGATCGCGGGCAGGGGGCTGCCACGGCCTCGGCCTCGCTGCGAGGGGCACTTGGGAGGGGGCGCTGCCCTCCTCCAGCCCCCAAATCGGGGTTCCAACAAGTCTACAAAGCCCTGGGGAGGGGGAGCCAAAGGGAGAAGGGATACAGTGGTATCTCCTCCCATCTTTTTTTTTCCAAACGGGGCAACGCAACCCTGTCGCAGATGACACCCATCACCACTTTTCTTTTTTTTACATTGATTTATTTTTAGTCATTTGGGGGCAATGCTGGCTTCTTCCGTCGCGGCTCGAAACGAAAAGTCCCTCCCGCCTGCTCGGCTCAGAGTGCTTGTTACACGTTTATGTCCTCGCAGGGCGCAGCCCCTGTATCCGTCCGCGGTAGCCCTCTCTGTCCTGGGACAGTTGGCATGAGCAGGCGGTTCCTGGCGCGCTTCCCTAGGGAACGGGGAGAGTAGGAGCAGGGCCCGGCCACTGCGCCACCCTCCCACACCCTCCCTAGCACCAGCCTCGCGTCTCCTAGACCCGGGCGGGACAGACCCTCCTGCCGTCCCCGCGCCCCTAAAAGCGGGGCACAGCACTGGCCTGGGCCCTGGAAGCCCAAAGAGAGAGGCTGTCGGCATTTCCTAACGTGCCTTTGATTAAAACTCCCCCACCCCAGGCAGGAGGGGAGCTACCACACAGCATTAGTTGTCATGGTGACCATAAATCACGTAAATCCAAAAATACCCACCTATAATCTGAGATGAAGCTTTTATTTCCCAAGTGAAATAATATTTTAAAAGCTGTCAGCCAACCGAAAAACAACCTAATTGTAGTCACCCAGGTAATATATTAGCGGTAAAGGTTTCAATTAAAATATCAAGTGTTTTTAAATCTTTTTCTTCATTTTTTTTTTTTCTGCTAGAAACTCCCATCACCTCTCCGGTTCGGGTCTTGCCCGCAAAGCAGTCTCACCCACCTACCGACTGTCCGCGCCTGCTGCGTGTAGCTACCACCGCTGAAAAAACTCCAACCATTTGGGGGAATTCTTCCCTTTCCCTTTCGCGTGGCGCTGCAGGGCCCGTCGGGGACGCGTGCCTGTGGGCTGGAGGGCATCCGCCCGCTGCCAAAAATGGAGAATCGGGGTTGCTCCCCACTCCACTCCACCTTCTTTTTAATTTCGTGGGGTTTTGACGGTGGGGGGGATTGTTTTTTGGTTTAGGTGATGGGGTTTTTTGGTTGGTTGTTTTTTTTTTTTTTTTTTTAATTTTATTTTATTTTTTTGGTGGCTTTTTTTCTGGTTTTTTTTTTTTTTTTCCCCCTTTGGGGGGTTTTTTGACCTCAACCTGCCATCGGCAGAGCTGGCGACCCAGGATGCCCGGTGCCGGTCCCGGTGCGGGAGATTCCGGAGCGGGGCCGGGAGCTGAGAAGCTCGGCTGGGGGGGCTGCAGGGTGGCCAGACCTACTGCGGGTATTTATTTTCCCACTTTTCCTTTATCTTCGCACGAGAACTTTGTTTCTAGGCGTAATAGTCCCCTAAATGGATAAATTGGTTCTTATGTAGAGTCTCCAGCTAGTCCTGTTGTCTTTTACCTTTGGCTTGTTGTCTTTCGCCTATCTCGGATTACCGGGTATTCTCCTCGATGAAGAGCCATTAATTACCCATTCAGTCAATATTAGGAAGACTACAGAGCTTTTTACATAGGATTAAGAAGACATCAGATTGTTCCGTTAGTATATTCCTACTCACGAATAAGCTTTCGTTATACATTTAGTTTTCCCTGGAGTGAGGCTAACAACTGCTGCATATATTATTCTCAGACGACAACCAGGGAGAGAAAAAATTCTATAACCGAAACGCAATAAATAACTTCTAATTTGCGCTTGGCGGGGGGTGCGGGACAGGGAGCTCACCTTCCGCGGCGCCGCACAGGGGCAGCGCACCCGTGGAGTGCCTGTGCCCTGGCTAGGGGACATTCCTGCTCCACGGCGCGGGTCACAATTCCGGGGACAAATTTGGCCACGCTGTGTGAGGAGGAGGGTGAAGCTCGGCTCTGCCTGGTGGCCCAGAGGCGGCAGCGACGCCCGGCTCCGGCTCCGCCTCGGCCCCCCCGCCCTGGCTCCCTCCCGCGGAGGCAGAGGCTGCGCGCCCACCTCGTCCCGAGGCTCAAAAAAGGCACCGGGGACCTTTGCTTTGCACGCTGCCGTGCCTTTAGCCGGCCTGGACGGAAAGCTGAATCAGCATTAGGTTTTAAGTTTTTGTTTTTGAGAAAGAAATGTTCAGTTACAAAAGATTCAGACCAATTTTTTTTTCTTTTTTGAGCGAGAGAGTTGAAACAATCGATTTGTGATGCTGAGTGACGATATAGGGCGGAAGGTAATTTCAACGTTTTATGCTGGAGGCTGCTGTTTCAGCAATACCTAGATTATCGATTAGAGGGAAGGATTCTTAAGTAGAATTCACAGAGCTAACAAATAGTATAGATTATATATATATATATATATATATATACATGTACACACAAATATCTTAAGCATCCTTTCACCCTGCATAAAAATTATTCGAACAAACCCACTAACAAGCATTTACGTGTGCTGTGGGGCTGCCGAAGCATGTGCTGAAGTTTTCCTAATTTTGTAGGACTGGTCACGCAGCAGCAATTTTCCCGTCTCTCTGGAGAAACCTGACACCCGCCGGACTGCGTTTGACACTCAAGGCTGCGATAATATTTTCATACTTTCCCATTTTCCTTTCCTCGGCGTGGCCACGGACTCGTTTTTTCTGGAATAACCCTCCCTCCCCGCGCCCCATTCCCCACGGAAACTGGGCATGCCAGTGTCGTTTTGGAGGGTCTCCTACTGAATTTCGTTTCCTCCTTTCGCAGAAGCATCGATTTGACCAAACAGTAGTATGTTTTGCTATTATTGCCAGTGGTTCTAGTTAGCGATTATTCTCCTCGTGGCCACCGACGGTGCCTAACTCACCAAATTACCTGACTGCCCTGGTAATTTCAAGAGCTGAACTGTGACGATGTGTGTGGGGGTGTCCTCAGTCTCCTCTACTCCCTTCCCCACCTCCCACCCAGCCATCCCCAAAGATTAGACCATTTGCGAAGTCAATCCCATAAAGCATGGCATACTGACGGCCAGGTAAGATAAAAATCAACGAGCACCGCGCCGTTTTAAGCAAATCAAAGCCAAGACTCAACAAAACCCTCCAGTATCACGAGAAAACTCCCATGATTTCTACTCTTTACAGCAAGTCTCACGAGCAGCCCTGGGCGTCTCGGGACTTGCCATTTTTCGTTGCACAGAGGCAGGGGCTGCGGCTGCACGTAAGTATTGTCCCCACGTCTGCAGTGATATATTTCCATATCTGCAAGGATATATCTGTATCCGTGGTCGTCGCGCTTCCCTTCCCCGTAAAAGGGCATGGTTTAATGATCAGGCAACTCCGCGTTGCTTCTTGGACTCGGACGTATATTTTAATTAACGGCATTAAAGGTGTTTAGATAGCAATTTCCCCTGCAGCCCAGCGAGTCAAAACCAGACCGTTTGGTACGGTAACGAGGCAGGAAATTTTGCGTGTACTACAATAATCCAGGTTCATAATTGATGTTTAAGAAAATAACCATTTGTTTCTCGGCAGAGGAAGTAAAAGTTACCGTGTCACGGAACATATGTGGATATTACTTTTATAAATACTTAGTCGAATAAAGCTGACTTGGAAGGGCTCATAAATTTATTATATCAGAAAGGTCCCCACTTTCCCATTAGATCGTGCTAAGGGCTTTGATTAAGACCACCTGTTCATCGAGAGGAAAAGGTAGGGGAGGGTAAAAAGGCCTTTCTTATTTGCAAACCATATATAAAGCAATGTCACCCTTCCTTTCCACATTATTTGACACTTATTACTGGCCGAGGGGAAAAGTGTCATACCCTGGTAAAGCATATTTGTGCACAATTGAATATCGTGTATGTTTCCGGGATTAAAAATTATCGGCTCGTAATACCTTCTCGTTTGGATTTACCCCGGATTTTGTTCGCTAACCTTCCTTTAGACTAAGCATTTCTTTTTCTAGGGGTTTTGATGTCCAGCTAACAAATCCTGTTTAAAGTCTCCTGGGGAGGGTGGACTCGGGAAAGGGATGTGGCCTCTCCTGAAATCACTGGATGTTATTTGAGAAATAGCGAGCTGTTTGGCCAAACAGGGTTAATACAGTATTCTTACAAGGAAGTGTTTAACCACGGGACCAGGAATACGTGCATTATTAATTCACTCTAGTTTCCTGTATTATTAATTCAGGTTAATGTATTTTATTTAAACAAAATTACGTTTATCTTGGATTAAACAGTCTCTCAAAATACAGAGCGCTTGTTTTCTTCTTTGTAATATGTTTGCATTGCTGTTTTTCTTTACCACCCCTCGGGCTCGCCTATCAGACCCCCTGAAGCGGGCAGGGGAAGAGCAGGCAGGAACTCTCTCTGCCTGTAGACGGGGCGCTGTGGGGCTGCCTACCTCTGAGAGCAGGAGAGGGCTGACGGCTTGTTTACGGGTGAGGGGGTGAGTGGTGTCAAAAAATAGAAAATAAATATAAATACAAGGGCGACGCTGCGGGTGTCTGAACGGCGCACTGACACCGATACTGTTTTGGGGGGAGGCGCTGCCGCCGAGGGCTGGTGCGCTGCTGCGGCCGCGGGGGTGCGCGCACTCCCTTTCCCTTTCCCCTTCCCCTTCTTCCCTGTCCCGCGGGCGCGCAGCTCCAGGCGCAAGCGGCGCCCGGCGGGCAGCAGAGGGCGCGCTGGCGCCGCGCAGGCGGTCCCGGCGCGGGGCTGCCCCCGCCGCCCCGCAGCGCGCCCCGCGGAGCGGCGCGGAGGGGCCACCGCGCACCGCCGGTACCGGGGGGTGGCCGCCCGGAGACCGCGCTGCCGGCGGGCTCCTTGTGGCCCTCCGGCTCCTCCATCCCTCTTACTGATGTCCACCTCCTTGGGAAAACGACACTCGACGGCGGCGGGCTGCACCCCTGGGCACGGGGACACGGGGCGGGGGGGGACGGGGGAGAGGTGTGTGGGTGGTCAGCGCCCGACGCTTCCCCGGGGGCGGCTCCGCCTGGCTCCACACCCGCGCACCGCTCCCCACGGCAGCGGGGCCGCTGTGCCTCCGGCCCGACGGGCGATAGTGTCTCTTACCTAGCTGAACACAGGCGGAGACAAGTTTGCGGCAGTTGGACTCCATTACCCGATATCTGAAAAAGATGAAGGCACCGGAGTTTTAAAACGATTATTTTGGGATTGAAAAGTACATGCAAAAAACCCGAAACGCCGCCGCCTCAGGAGTACGTCTCAACGATGGGGGTTGGAACATGCACTTTTCTCCAGAGATACGCTTAGTGTCCCCTCTCCCTGCCTCAGCCTCGGGTCCCACCCGAGTTACACCACGGGACAGGCGCAAACGCCCGTGGCGGTTTCCCAGCCCGTTGGACCGCTCGGCCTCCCTCTATCCCTCGGTACTTGGGGACGAGGAGGAGAGTCCCCTGACCTCGTGGTCGTACGCGGGACACCCCGGCCCCGGTCGCAGGGGAGATGTAGGCAGCGGGTACCAGCAGCCGCTACCCCACCACGGCGGAAGTTGCGCGGCAGCGGCTGCGCCTCCGCGCTCCCCGGCCGCCACTGCCGCCTCCTTGTCTGAGACGTCGGGCAGTAAAATCACAGGATTAGTGCCTGATTGAGATGTCTGTTCGTGATATATTACAAAATTCATTATCACAGCTCTCTACTAACTCGATATGAAGTAACACAGATGGGATTTTATTAGTCCAGGCTTCAAATGTTTACTTATGATAATTTCGGGGAAAATTTGCATGTCACCATCATTTCGGTAATCTTTCTTCTTCTTCATCGCTTCTTTTTTAATGTCTGGACCGGGCGCATTATTAGCTGGTGCTTAGAAATGCGGTAGCCTGGAGCCGAGGCACGTTTGGGATGAGCAGTGCCAGCCGCAGCACTCGCCGTGCAGGGCCCCGCGGCCCCGACCCTGCCACCCTCTGCCGGGCAGGCGGGATAAGGCCGTGGAAAAAGGGAAGGAAAGGCAGGGGGAAAAAAAAGGAAAAAAAAAAAAAAAAGAAAAAGGAAAAAGAGGGGGAAATGGGAAGGTGCGGTTATCGAGACTCCTCGGGGTCATGTCGTGACATGGCGGTTTATATTCCAAGCTGAAGGACGCCAGAGAGGAACTCCCTCCAGCAGCTGGGCCTAGCATACGAGCAGTGCCTAAATTAATCGAGAAGACAATCGAGAGAACCTTAAGTCTTTGCCGATGGTCCTTATTTCGGCATAGGTCTCTGTCAAGATCAGTCCTGCGTGACAAATTCAGCTGCCCTCCCCCGCGGCCTGCCTCTATGACTGATTTATCTCACGAGCGGAGACACACGGCTCCCCCAACACACACGCACTGCCACGGAGGGGAAGTTTTTCCTCTCTACTCAAATGCCGGTCTCCTCCGAGAAAAGTGCCTTTCCCGGACGAATTATTATTCCTTCCTTGCTCTCAGTTGCCCATATTTCTCCTTCCTTTTCTCCTCTCCGTATCCTCTTTTAATTTTTGTTGCAAGGCATATCGCAGTACGGGGCCAAGGGGAGTGAGAAGCGTTTCCCCCTATTGTCTCCAGCCCGGCGACTCAAACGAAAGCAACTCCACTTGCTTTTCCATTTCCATTTCTCTGAGCACTCAGAACTAAATATCTCTGCACCTCCACGCACCCACAGCCCCAGAAAACGCACCAGCTGTGCGACCTTCCCTTTCTCCGCGGCCGGGCCCGCTCAGCAGCAACCTGCTCGGAGCAACTGCAGGGCGCAGACAGGAAAGCACTGTCAAACTGCATTATTATTTTTACCCTTATTGGTATCTATCACTATTCTTTCGGGAGAAAAAAAAAATCCACCATCTCCCAGAAATAACGAGAGTCGCCTGGTAAGGATCTCAGCACCACCCGAAATACTGTGGTCCGTGATTTTGGCGGGAGGCTTTTCGGCAGAGGCCCGCGGCCGCTGGCTCTCAAACGAAAGGGGGTTCCCTGCGGGGCCTACCCTTTCCCGGTGCCCGCAGGGCAGCCGTGCCCCGTCGTCCTCCCGCGGGGCGTACTGTGGTGTCCCGACCACAGACCCTGCAGCCGGCGCGGCAGACCCGCCGCATCGCTTTTGGGAGGCCCGAGCGCGGGCCGGCGCCGCTGCCGCCCCCCGCCCGGGTGCGCGGCTCCGCGGCGGGAAGGAGCTGCCTGCGCGGCCGCTTCCCCGGCGCCCGCCCCGCCGAGGGAGGCAGGGACCGGCAGTGCGGACAAGCAACGCGGGGGCAGCGCTTGTTCCCCTCGCTGACAGCCCCGCGGGACGGGCCGCAGCCGCTCGGAAGGACATCAGAGACTCAGGTCCACGGGACCCCGTCCAGCCGGCCCACGGCCCCACCGCCCGCCCCGGGGTGGGCAGAACCGGGACCGGCGGGGTCCGCAGCCCCGCTTCTGTCCCGCCGACACCTCCCGCGCCTACCGCACTCACCGAGGCCGGTCGCGCTGTCCGCCCCGCTGCTCTCGCTGCTGGTGCCTGTGCTGGAGGGGGCGGCGGGGCCGCGCCGGGCTCCTGCGCTGGCTGCGGGGCCGCGGAGCCGCCGCTGGCTCCCTCCTTCCCCGGCCCTCCCGCGCCCCCGCCCCGCCCCGCCCGCCTCCCCGGGCCCTGACGTCACGCAGGCTCCGCCGAGCGCTCCCCGCCGCCGTAGGGCCGGGCCGGGCCGGGCGGCTCCGCGGCTCTCCGCGGGCACGGGCTCAGCGGCGGCGGTGGCAGCCCCCAGCCGCCGAGGGGACAGGGGGCAGGACGGAGGACAAAAGTCGGCGGCGGCAGCGCGGCGCCGGGATAGGTAGCCAGAGGAAAACCGAGGTGAGCGAGGACGGCCGTGGCCTCTCCGCGCCCGCGTAGGGCGCGCCCCGCTCCGCCCGGCGGGGAGGGGGGACACAAGTAACTGTGGCCGAAGTTTCCCGGGCCGGGCTGGCGGCTGTCCTTGCACCAGGTGTGAAGAGGGATCGTCAACCTATTGGGAGAGGTCTCGCTTTCCTTTTTTAACCCACTATTTTTTTTCCAATTTTTTTTTACTCTTTTTTTTTTTTTTTTTTTTTTTTTAAATTCGGAGTGTTCTTGTTCGTGCTCGTATCGGTAGCGCAGTGCTGGGGTAGCCGAAATCCTACCGCGCCTCTCTGTTGCTCGCCCTGCATCATCTATTCACGATAGCGAGAAAACGCTACAATTTCTCCCCTTTCCCCAAACGACACCGAACTGGCTCGAAGGGGAAATTTGTTTTCGATTTTGCGGTGTTTTCCGTGTTTAAGAAAATATCGAAGTCGGATTTCTTTATTCGTATCAAACTAAAGCGACTAAATCTCGCAGTATTTCCGCGGCTTTGTTCATAGAGGAACCACGCGAAAATAAAATAGGCACTTTCCTAACTCGGAGGCTACACCTGATCTCTTTGTGGCTATTTTTAAGTTATTTCAGCCTGGAGTGAATTTTAGTTATTTATAGTTGTGGGCAGGGGAATAGGCAATTATTGCTGGAGGGAAAAGCGAACTCTTGGAAGAGGCCAAGTTTTCCACGGGTCGTTAAGTCAGCGGCTCCTGCGGAAATCCAGATGCACCCGGCAGTACCACCGCTCCCCGGCGTGCTCAGAAAAGCCCTTTGAATGCGACGCCGCAGCGGCTGCCGCGCCAAGCGGAGGGGGTGGCTTCCTCTCGCAAGAAATTAAATCATGTGGGAAAATCTAGGGAGAAATAAATTAATTAATTGATTCCTTGGCTACCTGCGTTTTTGTCCCTGGGAGCGCTCTGCCAGGTGAAATCCAGTTTCTCCGCGCATCCGAAGAAAGAGCGGGAGTGAGAGGGACTCCCAGCTCCCACCTCTCAGTTGTGTCTACCCGGGAAAAGCAAACTGTTTGCGCCGGTGTGCATCTTCCCCACATGCCCAACCCCGTTGTGTTTTGGGCAGGGAAGGCAAGGCAGGCTGGGGCGCCCGCCTTGGCAGCGCGGCCGGGGAGCGGGACCGCCCGCGGCTCACAGCCCGCCTCCGCGCCGGGCGGCAGCGGGCTCCGTCCGCGCCGGAGCGGCTAAAGTGAGCAGCTGGTGGGAAATGCAAATGGCTCCTGGAGAAACATAAGATACTGGATGATTTTCATTCCCTCCTCGAGTGTGTGGAAGGAGCTGGACATACGTTTCACGCTCCTAATCCTTCTTTTACATTTTTAGTCATACTCCTATTAAACAACTAATTAATGCCTAGAATCACCAGGGAATACATTAGACATGCTGCCGTGGAAGAGGGGTTCCAGGGTGTCTGGAAACTGTGGAGCCGACTTAATACGCGGATTTCAATTTTTTTTTCCCCTTCTGTCAAAGCAATAAATGTAATAATAGATTCCAGGGCAAGCAAAGGCCGCGGCGGCTGCATTAATAGTCTATCTCCCCCCTCCCGCCAGCACAGTGACAACAGCTTTAAACCTCCCGAGGAGGCTCAGTAGCCCTTCCTCGGCTGGCTGAGGCGCGAGTGGCAGGGGGCTCGCAGCCGACCCGTGGCCCGGCTGGGACGCGAAGAGCTGTGAGAAGAGCCCTCCGTCCCGGCCCCCGGCAGGCACGCCGGCTTTCCGAACCACTTGGAAGGAGGGTCGGGGTTATTCATCGCCCTGACGGACAGAAAAGCTGTTTTATTAAAAGCTTATCGCGACTATCCGTTTGCAGGCACCTGGCGCAGCCAGCGGTGCTCCCGATGGCGGCGGGAGCCGCGGGGCTTCTCACTAGGTGATCCCGGGTCACAGCGTGGGTGAGGAGAAGGAGGGCCCGGGCTGCTTCCCCGCTGCCGGCCGGGGAGGGTTTTGCCCAGGGACGGGGGAAGAAAAAAAACCGACAGAAAATCCTCAAAGCGTATGTAGCGATGACCGAATGCAGAGCCCAGCCGTGTTCCGGGCAGCCCTCAGCGTCTGGCACAGGCCGCCAGCGTTGGGGGACCGGCGGAAAGGGGAGTTATCCTGCAAAGTGCGCGGTGGGGCAATTCACGATCATTTACTTTCTTCATTCCCGGATTATGATCTCAGCCCTCGCAAGCAAACCCTCTCGTCTCCCCCCCAGCTTCTCCTCCCACCTCTCTGAGCTCCTTATCTGTCAGCAAACGAGTATGTAAATACCTATAGCTGGCTATGTTTAACACACTCAAACATTATTGATTTGTTGGGCTGCTCGAATATTTTCTTCCTGTCCAGATCTGGTTTCAAATTGCTCATTCAGGCGGTTCGTCCCCGATGCTACAATACAGTAATTGTTAAAAAAAATAAGCATTTCAAACGGACAATTTGATTTGCATATAAATTAAAATTATTATGCCTCGCGAATTCCAGTGTTTTATAATCATTTAGAAATTAGCGCTTAACCACTTGATCTGAAAGAAAATATAAATGTCTGTATTGACTTACTAATGAATTGCCTAATTAAAACGTCCCGAGTACATCGTTCGTTAGGAAGATTGTTAAATCGAGGCACACTAGGTGTAGGGATGACGGTACGAAACGGAGCGAAGCGCTCTCTGTTAACACAGAATAACATAAGCTTCACACAGTGATTCCCATATTTATTTTCCTTTGCTTTGATCCCTTACCCCTTTTCTATTACTTTTTTAAAATTTTCTGTCTCTCTTTCTCTGTCTCTTTCTTTTTTTTTCTCTCTCTCTCTCTTTCTCTTTTTAATTTATTTTTAAAGGAAATAAAAAGAAGAAGCAGCGCAAATATCTGCCGCTTTGCTCCGAGTCTGCGGTCGCCGCTCCCCGGGCGAGTGGGATGCTTGCGACCGGGGCCGCTCTCGGCTCCCACCTTCCCGGCACCGACCGGCTTCTGGGAGCAGGGAAGCACAGCCAGAGCCGGCGGAGCCCGTCCTGCCAAAGAGATGCTAACAGGGCACTTACCTTCGTCATGAGACTAGGGATAAAAAGGTAGCTCTTCTTAGGAGAGGCAGTGCAAAGGAATGCGAGAAGTACAGGGAAAAAAAAAAAAAAGAAAGAAAGAAAGGGAGAAAAAAAAGACCGGCGGTGCGAAAATCTGTAGCCTCGGGGGCTAGCCAGCAACCCCTTTCATTTCAAGCACTTATTGATTTGCTGTTGTCATCTTTGGCGACGCAGAAGGACACTTGAAAGAATTTCTGATGGGGCTCTGATCTGAGATACGAGGTGACCTGACCGGGCTCTCACCAAATTCTTAATTACCACATCAACTGCCTTAAAAATAAAATAAAATAAAATAAAATAAAAGGAGGGAGGGGGAAGATGGGAAGGTTAGGGGGGCAAGAAAAGGGGAGGGAGCGGGAATATTTAACAGCAACAGAGTTTGCTTATCCGAACTTTTTTAACCACTCAGAAACTCTCCTACCGCTGTAACCGCAGCCCCGCATCCAGACCCCTCCATCCCCGCACGCCCAAGCCTCCGCTCCCCGCAGTCCCGAGCTTTCGGTCCCCCGACGCAGCGACCCGGCGAGCCCGCGGGCATGGAGCAGCCGCAGGGGCCAGCGCCGTGAAACCACGCTCCCGCCCGGCGGCCAAGTCTGAGCCGAAGCCCCTCGAAGCCCCCCTTTCCTTCGCCCGGACCGAAAGCAATTCTGGGGAGCAGCCCTCCGCGGGTCGGTGAGACGAGCCTGGGAGGGGAGTTGCTAAAGAAAACACTTCAAATGCAGCAGATCTCAGAGGAGAAGGGGAAGGAGGTCAGGACAAGGGGTGTGTGTGTGCATGTGCGTGTGTTACACTCGGCCAGACATGCAAGCCTGTGACTTGTCTGCAGCCAGCTGTTTGTGTGTCATCAAATCTAGATGTATACACGTTGAGCAGGGGAACCAAAAGGAAAATTCAGATGATGAAATCAACATGAAAGACTTTTTGTCGAAGGCACTGAAAGGCAAATAGTGTTTGGTGTTGCTTGTACACAGGCATACAATGCTGACAGATGACAGCAGTGCACTTGGCTGAAGAGAAATACACTGCCTTTGTCCCACATGGTGTGCACACACATGCACATTCCTTCTTCCTGCTCTGGCTTCTGTTTCTGCAGGACAAAGCAAACCCCATCTTTTATAAACATCATCTTCCCCACCACACTTTTTTCTTTCTCGTTTTTTTTTACATGCATACACCACCCCTCCTATGTGTAGTTGCTCTTTATTTTAGTATCAGAAAGCTGAGGGATAGGATTAGCAGCTATTTTGGCATCTTTTATTCTGTCCGCCTCCCAGCAGTGGCTGAATCCAGGCTGTGAAAGCTCAGCAGGCTTTCATTTAGTATTTTGTACCCTTGTTATCTTTGAAGGGGCATTCTCCTTTCAAAGTAAATGCCAGTTCTACCAGATCACATCTCCCCATCAAGCAGGGTTGATGATGTCCCTCTTTTCTGTGTGTGCCATCCCTTTCCTATTTCCAGTGGGTCAGCTGCTCAGCTATGGCAACCAGGACTGTCTAGTTATACCTGAGTCCTATACCCTCTGTTGAGCCTCAGTTCCTCACAAGTCTGGTTTGTAGGGTGGCACCACCTATCAATATGGATTAGACAGCCTAGCATTCATTTTCAAGCCTC